TCAGAACCTCTCGCTGGTCCTGGTTCTAATTTAAACAACAATCGAGGTATCTTTTTAAAGGATTAAATCCTCCATTATTATTCGCAACTAATCATTTGCTTTTTAGGTGCAAATCTTATGGGGAGTGATTTGTATCAGAATCTCCAAAGGTATCTGGAAAGGCATCTCCATGAAATTCGGGAGGTAACATACCATTTGAGATAATGCGCTTTTTTATGGTACACTTTGCCCTTAAATTTTATTGACCTTTTTTTTTTTTAAAAAAAAAAAAAAATAGAATTCTACTCAATATATGGATGAGAATTTATTGCGATATTACACGAGGAATTGGGAGAAATATACCACTGCATCGTCATATGTACACCATGTATTCAGATATCTTAATCGTCATTGGGTGAAAAGGGAGATTGACGAGGGTCGTAAAACTGTCTATGATGTTTATACCGTAAGTAAACAATATATTAAACGGATTTTTAAATCTCTCAATGATCTGATTTATTTTGATTCTTGTCACAGCTTACTCTTGTTAGTTGGCGAGATCATATGTTCATGCATGTGGAACGTAATGTAATGACAGCCGTCCTAAAACTTATTGAAAGACAAAGGAACGGGGAGACCGTGGAAACCAGTTTGGTAAAGAGCGTTGTAGAATCCTTCGGTACATTATTTCATCTAATATTTTATTATTCATTCATGTTAGAGGTCAATTATTTATTAATCGCAACTGTATTTTTAGTTGCACTCGGTCTTGACGATGCAGACTCCACAAAATCCACGCTTGATGTATATAAGGATCATTTTCAGACTCCATTTGTGGATGCTTCTGAAGTATACTATAAGGCTGAATCAGAAAAGTTTGTTAGGGAGAACAGCGTCACCGAGTATATGAAGAAGGTATGATGACATTCGAAATATGAAAAATATTTTTTTGTGTTTCTAGAAAAAGAGTAATAATAGTTTTTTTTTCTATATTAAAGGCAGAAAAACGTTTAATGGAAGAAGAAAATCGGGTTCAGATGTACTTGCATCAGAGTACGCATAAGCCCCTCATTAGTAAATGTGAAACTGTACTTGTGAAGAATCATACGGAAATTATGTGGGACGAATTCCAAAACCTATTGAACGCGGATAAAATGGAAGATCTACATCGAATGTATTCCCTTCTATCGCGAATCCCAGAATTATTGGATCCTCTGCGCACACGTTTCGAAGAACATGTTCGCAAAGCTGGTTTAAACGCAATCGAAACAGTTGCAGTTCAGGGTGGGGAAAATATGGTATGATATTGCTAATTTGAGGTGTGTTGTTTATGAATGCATGACAGACTACTAATGATCAACAATTTTGTTGTTTGACTTAAAGGAACCTAAAACCTATGTTGACGCTTTGCTGGAAGTACATAAAAAATACAATGATATGGTTACTACTGCATTTAGAGGGGAAGCAGGATTTGTGGCTTCATTGGACAAGGTAACTTGTTTATTTTATATGAAAAAAGTTTTTTGACAATAGAAATATTTTTTATGCCTGAACGAAAATCACGTGTTTAATAATAGGCTTGTCGAGAATTTGTTAACAGAAACCAAGTTTGTAAATCTTCGACGTCCAAGTCACCTGAATTATTGGCTCGATTCTGTGACTCATTACTTCGAAAAAGTTCAAAGAATCCTGAAGAAGGTGATTTGGAAGATGTTCTGAATAACATTGTGGGTATATGCATATTTTGTTCAAATAAATTTCAAACGCAAAGTTAATATTAAAATAAAATAATTTCGTTTTTTAGATGACCGTATTTAAATACGTAGAAGACAAGGATGTTTTCCAAAAATTCTATTCTAAAATGTTGGCAAAACGTCTCGTCAATGGAACATCGGCGTCGGAAGATGCTGAATCAAGCATGATTTCTAAATTAAAGGTTCGTATGTTGGTTTTATTGTATCGAAATATTATTACATAGCTTTATTAAAATTTTTTATTTTTGTAAAACTTGACAGGAAGCGTGTGGTTTTGAATACACTTCAAAATTACAACGCATGTTTACTGATATGGGCTTAAGTAAAGACCTTAATGATCAATTTAGAGATCGAACTTTAATAGAGCAACCTGAACAAGGTAATAATAGATATCTGTATGTCTTTATCTTGGTATTTTATTATCATTTTCATGTTTATATTGAAAAAAAAAAAAAATTCTATTTATACATTATTATAGTCGACTTTACTGTTCTTGTACTGGGAACTGCATCCTGGCCACTTCAACCTTCTACCACGAACTTCACCATACCCGAAGAGGTTTATAATTTTATTTATATTTTAAATCTCCCTACAATATTAATATTGTTTTTTTAATAGCTTGCAAGAACATTCCAATCGTTTAAATTGTTTTATCAAAGCAAACATTCTGGCCGCAAATTAAATTGGCTGTTCCATTTATCAAAAGGTGAACTAAAAGCAAACTATTGTAAAGCATCAAAAACAGGCTATACATACCAGGTTCGTAGTGGAACATGTAATTTTTGTTTTATCTTCCACACTTGCTTACAAATATCGTGACTTTAGGTTTCTACCTACCAAATGGGAATTCTCTTACAATATAATAAAGACACCTCCTATACATTTGAGGAATTAAAACAAAGTACTGATTTAAGCCCAGAAGTCTTAATGGGTTCGTTGAGTACTTTAGTTAAAGCTAAAGTTCTTAATCAAACCAAGGGCGATAATGTCGGAGAACAGGGATCACGTTACGAATTGAACATGGACTTCAAGAGGTTTGTTCCAATTAAATGTCTTGCTCAATATAAAAGAGTATAACTTATGAAATTATTTGTTATTTTATAATAAATAGTAAGAAGGTTCGTATTCAACTAAACGTTCCTGTTAAGTCTGAGCAAAAAGTCGAAGTGGAAGAAACCCATAAGACTGTTGAAGAAGATAGGAAGTTATTGATGCAGGTTTGTATATTATTGATTCTTCATGTTACATCTGAGACCGCGCTCATTTTTTTTTTGTTCAGGCTGCTATCGTTCGTATCATGAAGACTCGTAAAACGTTGAAGCACGTCGTTCTGGTACAAGAAGTAATCGCTCAGTTATCGAATCGATTCAAGCCCAAAATTCCAGATATTAAAAAATGCATCGATGTTTTGTTGGAGAAAGAATACATTGAACGTGTGGAAGGTCAAAAGGATATGTTCTCCTATGTTGCTTAAAGTGTGAATAGAGACAATTCATGTTCATCATCGAACAAAAAAAACGATCTTTGAATAGAATTTGAGGAGCGATTTATGTTTAACAGAAAGACCGAAATTAGGATGCAACGTTTGGGCGCATTGTGATAATAGGCATCACATTCTGGCAATGTAGAAAGTAATCCGCTTAGAATGACCCGGGCATTTTCTTAATTATAATATCAAACACTAAAGAAAACATGTCCAGAGGTTGCATGCTTAAATACTTGACAAATATATAAACTCTTTTTGTCTTATAATATGCTTTACAGGAACTGTTAATGAGCATTAGCAATTTTTTTTGCGTCAAAATGGTAGT